AGCCCGCCCAGAGGTGAGTCAATAAGCAGTGATTGATGCGTCGACTTTCCCGTCGCCCGCGTACAAAAAACAAAGTAAATATTTTGGTGACGTTTCCGCATTGAATATCTTTTTGAGGGGTGGTTCCAAACGGAGAGGTAGTGGTTAAGGTGATGGAGTGCGTTGCCGACAGACGCTCCCCCGCCCCACTGCCAGGACTCGCCCCCAGCCCCTCCAGCGCCAGGCGGGGGCGGCCGAGGGGCGGCCGAGGGGGCGGCGGCGGCACGCATGTGGCTAATAGTCGTCGTCTGGTGCACGCCCGGCGCGCCCGGCACGCACACCAAACTGCAGCACCGACAGACTATTAGCGACTGACCAGACCGGCCACGACAGGCAGAGTGCACGCGAAAACAATGATGTAGAGAAACGATTGAACTTGCTGTTACACACGCCGTGTATTGCCGTGTATAGGGCCGCGCTTCGTGAAAGTATAAGCTTTTCCGGGGACCCCTCCCCCTCGCCACTCTCGTCCTTCGCTCCCTTCACAACTGGTCAAGGACTTCCTATCGCGCTACATCGAGTTCGGGGCCCGAAATCGAATAATCGAACCGACTGAGACAATGGGCGGTGATTCTAGTTGTTCTTGTTGTAATTTCTGGGACAGCCAAGGGGGGTGACGTCACATACTTTGATTTGGAGAGCGGGCTGTCAGACCTGCGTGCCTCTTGTTCTTGCCGCCCCGCTTTCCCCTCCTATACACCAACGAGGGAGGACGGTGGGGGACAGTGGGGGGTGGAGGACACCTGTATAAGGCGGTAGTTCCCGAGGGAGGCGAAGAGAAGCGCGGTGAGGTGCAGTGCAGCTCGCAGCCAAGCAGAAAGAGGAGCGACGGCGCAGGCACAGGGATGAGAATTAAATTATCCAAAACGGAATAATCCCAGGCCGCGATATTGTTTCGCGAGGAAAGGAAAGGGGTTTTCGCGGTGCGAATGACGCAGTCGCTGCGGAGGCTGCCCGCGCCTGCCACAGTGCTATAGACGGCTATAGAGCTAATTCCCTTTCGAATTAGCATATTCCGAGAAAAGCCCAGCCTTCTCAACGAGAACACAAAAGCAGCCGACAGAACGCGTCATTAAGAGCTGGGCACGCGAGCACCGCCGCCGCCAGTACTCGCGGTGGTGGAGCCCTCGCCCCGCCCACGAGGGACGACTGCAGATGGCTCACTCGCAGGGGTCGGCTGGAAAGAACACCACCTATTTCTGTCCACTCTTTGACTCCGTCCCCCTCCCCTTATGTATTTGTGATTGACGCGTGACCTTGTGTGGCTCGCTTTCTGCTTGGCTGTTTTTTTGGTCTCCTTTTTTACCGACCCTTTTTGCAGAAGAACAGGAAAACTATCGAAAGGCAAGAAATATTTGAATAGCGGAGATCGTTCCAAATTTGGCTGGAGTTATGAATGTAACCGCCCATGTATTTTT